CGTTATCGACACCTCGACCGGGTTGATCACATTACCCGCAGATTTCTATTGCTTCACAGGCTCGAAATACGAATGTACGAGAATGTCAATTTTAGGACGCCAAAAAAGACGCAAAAAGTTTACCACTTTTACCCTCGGGCTTTCTCCTAAAACTACCCTCGTAAAGGGGGAAAACGGAATAGAATCGAAACCAAGAATCTGCACGCCGTAAAAAAAAATATTTTAAATAAAAAATGTAGCTAAGATAATTTTTGAACAAAATGTCTATTAGCATTTTTTGAGTAGAGTGATGAACAGTTCTTTCAGAAACAACGATTAAAGCGATCGACAATTTTTAATGTCAGTTTCGCGCGCGAAATCAATGTTTAATAAAATTTGTATCAGCTCGACGGTAAAAATTCGATATCATTTGATCTGAGTGTCCTATTGCAACAAAAAATTTGTGAACGTCTGGGAGTTGCAGGACGCCATTGTAATATAAAATGTGTATGTATAATTTAACACAAGTATTCGACCAATTTGCATGCCCTACAGAGACCGTAAAATGAAAAAATTAATGACAAGGTAATAAAAAAAAATAATGTAAATGAAAGTGGTAAACTATGGAAGTTGCTCTAAGATGTGATACTTTCCTGTGCGCCAGGAAAGTATTAACATCTACCTTCCAAGGTATCTTGTAAAGCTGTTTGTTGAAATAAAAAGGAAAACAGGTATTAATTGAAATATTTAGTTTTCAGCACAAATTTAATACCTAGCCAAATACATACACTATAATTTATTATATGCTACCCACCACCATTGTATGTACAGTTAACCTAGTTAATTATGTACTAAAAAAAATCCCTGATTATACACAATTGATCCTTGATGATCTGAATTTACAAATAATAAAATATAGGAAAAATTTTAATGATTCAACCTAAAAAGGTAATTTACTTGCCTACTAGATATGTCACTGTGTACTTCGGCTTTCAATTAAATGTTCTAATAAAGTAATGAGGACACTATAGGAAATAACTCTCTGATTAAATGTGTACACATAAAACCATACAACATAGTTGAAAGGGAGAATATAAAACCTCGACCTGTAGTTAACAATGTGTCTTTATGTTATTTAGAATTATTTTTAAAAAATGACGGGTCTTTATTATTAAATGAAATGTATGATTTAAGGTTAAAAAAGAAATATAAAAATATTATTAACAATTAATCAATAAAACTTAAATATAAAAATGAATAATGTTCCACACTCTAAATGAGGAGATCTTTCCGGCTGTTCCCTGAAGTGGTCCGGGAATAGTCTTAGAGAAATCTGAACCTCTGAAGGAACAGCTAAGGGTGACGGGTAAATGTGCAAACCCAAAACGTAATTCTTATTTTTCTTTTAATAAATCCAAAAAAAAAATAAAAATGAAAAATCCTTGACTCTGGATTTAACTTTTTAAGTAGGCTAAAAAAAATTCTTTTAGAGTTCCTTCTTAAGCTTAATAAAAGGACGGGATAACACAAGGTTTATTAAAATATTAAATAACTTGAAACATATTACAAAAAATTAGCTTGGAAGCTCGTATCAAAGCAAAAAGCTCTAATGATTTGTAGATAATGTGACCTTCGCATGGTTTGACAATATTTTATGTAAAATAGATTGATCAAATAGATAATTTTAACGAAAAGCTACGTATGGATATATTTTAGAATATAACAAAACGGTATGAGATAGAATATTTTTACATATAGTCTTAATAGATAATAGATAGTTTTAAAGATGGATAATAAAGATGGTTCAAGCGTTGTTTCTGAGAACTGTTCATTCAACACAAAAAATGCTAATTAACATTGTTCAAAATCATCTCAGCTACATTTTTTATTTGAAACATTTTTTCTACAACGTACAGTTTTCTTGGTAAAACTTTTTTTTGAGTTTTTACTCCTCTACAAGGGGGTTTTAGGGGGAAGTCCGGGTGTAAAAGTGGTAAACTTTTTTCATCTTTACGGTCCCAAAATTCTAGGTAAAATTCAGAGTTTTTAAGTTCATCGGAATTGTCTGAAACTCACAATTTTATGTCATTAATTCATCGATCATCAAGGAAAAATTAATAGGAGATTTCTTAATCCCGCATATACCGATGATCCAGGCGACTTACCATTTGATTTTAAGAGTCTATAATTTTCCTTACGTTCGGCTTTTGCAATAAACGATATGCGATTGCAATCGACGATAAACAAGCCGCAAGTTCAACCGTTGGAAGTTTGCGGAGTTAACTTTCAGAGTTTCAATGTTTCATGCATGGAAAATTATTCGCGCGTCGGAAAACCTCCATGGTTGTATATTTACGCACCGAAAAAAATCTATATTGTTTTTTGTGCGTTCTCCTCATTTAGACAGGTATTAAAGAACAAAAAATAATTGTTGATACTTGGAAGACATATTTAAAAATATTTTAACAGAAGAAAGGGAATAATATGAGGTAATTTTAGTGTAATTCATATGTAGGTCAATCTAAAAGACGATGTGAAGCGATATGTAGGTGACTAGCGTTTGGAACAAAAAAATTATATTGGAGATGATATACTTAAACTAGCTACTATTATGATTGATATTGCTAACTACTAAACATGATTTTTGTTAACACACATCAGAATAAGAAACAGGAAGAAAAACAATTTAAAGGACTTTGTTAAACTGTGAAAATTTCCGGAGAGGACGGTAGAAGTGAAACTAGATAATGCTGAATGCAAAAAAAATGAAGGATTCTGCTACAGTACACCAGAAATTAAAACATTGTATAACGAAGGGGAAGATCTTATTATAAGAGATCTTATTATAAAGGAAGAGACTTGATATAAGTGTGCACAGAATAATAATAAAGAAAATAGTAATAGTAAAAAATGCGGAAAGATGTTAAGGAATATGTCAGGAGAGGAGCTAGTTGCCAAAGTCATAAGCACTCGATCATGACCTTCTTCTTCAAGTGCCCTCTCCGCTACGGAGTTTGGCAATCATCATTGCTATTCGTATCTTTGAAGCTGTTGCTTTAAATAATTGATTAGATGTGCACTGAAACCAGTCTCTTAAATTGCGCAGCCAAGACATACGTCGTCTCCCCACGCTTCGTTTGCCCTGAATCTTTCCTTGGATAATCAACTGGAGCAATCGGTACTTTTTCCCTCTCATCGCATGACCAAGATATTCCACATGACCTAAACAACCTCTAACTATCACATGTCACTGGCGCGTTTGATACAATATTTATAGATCTAGTAGACCCATTTGAGATGGACTACGATATATTGACACTACAATATGAAATAATTAGATACCTAGAATGATATGTAATAAAAAATAAAGAAGCCAAAACAGTAGCCAAATCATTGGTAGAAAACTTTATTTTGAGATATAGAGTACCCAGAAAAATAATGGCAGAACAAGGCACAAGTTTATGGTAAAATTTTTTAAGAAAACATGCTCATTTTGAAAATAGAGGAATTAAACTCCACAGCATATCATTAAGATACAATTGTATATTTACAAAAAAAATCATAAAGATTTAAATGTGTATCTTAGGACTTAGTTGTCAAAATTTCCTACGAATTGGAGTATATGGGTACAATACCTCTTCGGAAAAACATGTCGACTGTCGATAAGTGTACAAAACGATATGTAACTATTGTACAGTTTCGACGACTATCCCATGGACCTGAGGTACAGATTACACGTAGCCACAAAAAAGACCAGAGAAACACTAACATAGTCGAAATACAGAAGAAAAAATACCAAAACTGGCAAAATAACTTATATACCAGAAGACAAAGTACTAGTTAAAAACGCGTCAAATTTAAAACTCAAACCTTTGATTTTTAGTTCAAATACCGAAAATAGAGTACTTAAAATTATTGTTCTGAAGCTATTTTCTTGTAGCATTTTAAGGTAATCACCATTTAAATGTGAACAAGTCACAATTAAAGGTTAAAGCAAGTTTATTGACGTTTAAATTTCCACTTCGGAAATCGTTCTCAAAATACAAACACTAATGTTGAAAACGATTTCCGAAGTGGAAATCGAAACATCAAATTTTAGTTGAAATGTCATTTTTATTACAATTAATTATGGTTTAATCTAATATGAACACAATACTTAACTTAGACATGTCACAAAAAAACAGTTTTCAGAACCTTATTCTAAGAAGGGCTTGTAACTTAAATTTTATTCTGTCGTATTCTAATGTTAAAACTGCAATTGCTTAAGTTCTTTTAGAGGTTTACATGTTTTACATCATGTTTACTAAAGTCTACACCCAAATTGATTAACTTTTAGACAAATTTTATGAAAGCCTTAAGTTAAAAAGTTACGTAAGTTTAAAATAGGTTATAAAAAATATAAATAAAAATTACTTTCGGTTATATTCAGTGGACGAAGATCTTTTGCAATTAAATTATATTTTTTTCTTTTCATGCAAGCCGTCTTTTATAAACCGGTCGTACCATATAGTTTTGAAGTCGCTTGGTTGCTGCCAAAAAATGTTGCCTTCTGCAATCTAATACCTCGCAGTCATGCCGGATATGGTTGACTGTTTCAGGTTCTCTGCTTGTGACTGCAGCTTGTCTCCATAAAAAAGTCCCATTGTATGCAGGTGGTATTTGACTGGTTATATGTCTAGTTATGAATCCTGTTATGGCTCTGAGCTAATTCTTCCTTATTTCCGTAGTATTTCAGACCCATTTTGTAGGTGATGCTTGTTTGGCAAGTGTATAAGCTCTTTGATTACCATATATTCCCCTGTTACCTTAACCCATACCAGTGTGACACTGTTACGTTCCCCCAGTCTGTCGAGTTTCTCTCGTTATTCCAACACTAGCCTAGATTCCACCTTAGGGTTTATAAGTGCTGCTGATATAACTGCCACTTCTTGAGTCTTATCTGTTAGCATATATTAATCCGTTTCCATTCGAAAGCCCACATGGTAATTTCTATTACACACTGCAATATTCCAAAAATCTTTACCTGTATATCAGTGATTTCATTTATAATTTTACTATGTGCTAATCTAACCAATATGTTGCTCAGGTTTTCTCACACTTTATAATAACCCATTCTCGCCTCTCCCCTTATAATTATATGTAAAGAAGATAGATCGAGTAGAGCCTCCACAGCTGCCGTTGAGGTGTCCCTCATAGCCCCTCTGATTCCAAGGCAAACAATTCTTTGTACTTTGTTTAACCTAAGGATGTCACTGTGTCGTTGCACCATACCACTGATGCAAATTAGTTCATTAAATCCATTAAAACATGTCTGGTTTGAAACCCCCCATATGATGGCTGTGGCTGTTGAACGTAACTATTAACCTATCCATGATCAGATTCCATAACAGAGGAGAGACGAAGGCAGAGGCTGTCCCCAAAACGAACAGCCCCTGGTAACTTGTGCTAACACTGTATCCCCCAGTAACTTTGTTGTATATCACACGGCTCCTCAGCACGTAGTCTATCTATCTGCAACTTGTTTCGTTCAATTCTTTTAGACGGATCGCCCGTGTGGTTGCTTCGTAGGTGTTGTTAAATACTCTCTATGTCGAGAAATGCCTCACCTCTTGATTTTAAAGAACGTATTCCACCCTCTATACGAGATGGTGCAATGCCGTTTCCGTAAAGAGTCCTACATGATTCCCATACTGTCCCTGATGTATCAGACTTTGAACCAATACACAATCCCTAATATGCCTATCGAGCAGTTTTTCTAGATTCTTCAGTACGAATGACATCAGATTTATCGGCAGTAGAGATTAGCTGTTTCCTTTCCGATTTTGCCAGATTCGGGTATAAAAACCACCCTTATTAGCCCCTGCTTGTGGTATGTACCCCATCCTAAACTAGCCTGCAGTATCATTTCCCTTCTGTAGAAGTATTGGATAAATCCCATCTGGACCCTGTGATTTATATGGCTCAAACAAGTCTATTGCCCATATGGTTTTGACCTGGTTCACCGCTTCTTTTTTCACACTCCAGTTTTCCCTAAACATAAGTCATAGTATCCATTCCAGTCTGCTCTATGTGTAGTGCTATCTGTATTCTCACGCAAGTGCACCCTAAAAAGTTCTTTGGAGATCTCTTCACCATACTGTGTATTCACCTGACCTCTTTTGAAGTGAGTGAATACTTGTATGAGGGTCCCTTGAGAGAATTTTAGTGAGCCTTGACATTTCTGCAGTCTGTTCTATCTCTTCACAATACCTTCTCCACGATATTTTTGCCCTTCTCACTTCCTTATTATATTCAGTCAGATCTTTGTCATAATCGCCCCACTCATCTGATATTTTGGCGAAATCAAATTTTCGTTTGACGTCTGTCCTTTAAGTTTCAAGATTGTCATTCCCCAGGGTATTTTCCCGTTGTAATTCCTTACTACCTCCATACAGTTGTCTTTTTTCAAATGCTTGATGTATCACTGATGATGGTCTGATATTCTTCTGCTTAATATGCTTCCCAGTTACATTTATTTGTTGAAGTTGATTACCTGTATGTCAAAACAGATGTGTAGATGGTCTGAAGAAGACATTTAATTTGACACATGCCATTCATGTTCCATAACACTGATTAATGATTAATTGTAGTCCGATTTTCCCGCACTATATCTTTCACTAGCTGTTCAAATTCCCTTGATGGTGGTTGTTCGGGATCATCATATCTGATTTATGCTATTCCGAGAATTATCTGCTTCATACATCCTCGCTCTAAATATTTACTGTCGTTAAATCTTTGGAACGAAGAACGAAGATCAACGGCAGTATTCCAGGGCAGGGTCGTTCTTAAGCAGTTGTAAAAAAGAAAAAGTAGATTTTATTGTTTAAAATATTACTAAAATGTTGATATTAAGAAAGATACAGAGTGTTAAAGTTGAAATTTAAAATTTCATTTCATGTATAAGAATTTATAACTGGGGACTTTTGAGTATGAGGAATGATAATTGGATGCTTACTTTGATGTAGCTGATAGAGAACGCCACATATGCCACATAGTTGACATAAATTTGTGTGTCATACTTATTAAAGATACATTATTTCAACATTAAAAAAGATATACATGTTAATCGAAACTCAACAGTCTTCGAGATAATCACATTCTGATTTAGCGCAATTATTTCAGGTAACGAAGGAAAAGTACACAAAAGCATACTTCTGAATTTTGGTATTAAATGCCTTTAACTAAAGTTATATTCTGAAATATTAAATAAAAAATAGTATACACTAATATTTTTATAAATTATTAGGATTATTGATAAAGTGTTACAGGATTTAACACTACACATTTTACGTTTTAATTAAATGGAAGTCATAATAAAATACATTTTATTTACAAACCAAATTAAGAAACAGATAGTTAAACTAAATAACATTAAACTTTTTGTAAAAGTAAGTATTGGATATGTTCACCACTTTCTTCAATGTTATCAATACGTTCCATAAAAGATCGTGTCATAAATAGCGTCATGGGTTCCAAAGAAACTGTTGCAGTATTTATTTCTTCCCAAAGTTAGTTGTGAGTGTTTATGGGATTTTTGTACTTGTAGACACGTTGTTTCATTGCGCCCCATACTGCAAAATCGAGCGGAATTAATTGTGGGCTACGTAGTGACCAATGAAAATGACTATCACGAGCAATCCAGTGCTCAGGAAAGTTGGTATTTAACTGCCCCCTTATACTGTGGGGGAGTGCACCATCTTGCACGAACCACATATTTTGCCTTAAGCTAATGGCAATTTCGAAACACAATTCAGATTTCTGCTTTATAATCTGAGCCTTCTAAGAATTGCAAGGCAAACAGACGTTCATAAAAGATGTTAAAAGAGACATGGGGAATCTAAAATTTGCATTCCACGACATGTCTTTTACAACTAAGCAGAAATCCTTAGCGAATTGTGCTTCTAGTACTCCCACAGAGTAAATCCGAATAAAATGAGAAAAGGCAGCAAATATTTGATTTCACGCAAACAATTCATTTCATCATTCATTCATTTTAATTCGGATTTACTCTGTGGGAGTACTAGAAGCACAATTCGCTAAGGATTTCTGCTTAGTTGTATGCTGGCAATAGATTTTGCTGATTCCTAACACTGAAGATAAAAGTCGTTTACTTACTTGAGAATCATCGTCTACGTAAACCATTACTTCATCTTCTTGATCAGGCGTAATGGTTTTCGGTCGGCCTAAGTATTAGACCGACCGACGACTTTATAACGTTTAAGACGAAATGAGCCACTTTCGCCTAAATTCCGAAATAGATGTTTATAGTTTGGTGATTAGGTTGCAGTCTGTTGGATATCTTCTTAAGTATTCGCTTTTTGCTACACTCCCGTTAAAATATTGTGACAATAAAGTAGCAATCCTATCTCTCATATCTATATTAGACAAATTATTCTGACTCGGCATTTTCTGCTTTTCTGTAATAAACCAAAATAAACTACTCGATATTTCAACAGGCACTGATTAATTAAAACTAGCCTTATTTTTAATTGTCAAAAGCTTTCGTGACATTGGCCTAAGTTAAGATTTCCTGTAATTCATTAAACACGATTGGTGTTGTGTAATGATGACATCAAAAATTGCTTCAAATAAAATATTTAGCAGCCATAACAAAGCATTTTGTAATACATATACATCTTTGTACTATTTACATAAGAATAAACTATTAAAAACAACTTACAATGAAGTAAAAACTTTCCTGTAAAATGATATAAAATTTTTATCAAAATTTTAAAATTATCCAAAACGGATTTACAAATTTTCAAAAAGTTTTCGATGCTATCAGATCATCATCAGTAAAAAACGCCTATAAATAAATTGGAACTAGGCACATAATGAGGTCAGATTACCCTTAAGTTGCATAATTTGAGTAACAAACATAATTATTAAGACACAGTCGATGATAAGACATTAAATTTTTTGAACGTACAAACTGAGTCGCACCAACCAACTATAGTTGGAGTCCTATACCATGTTCTCAGTTGACTCACGTGTGTTTATTTGAATATTTCTTATTCACAACTGTCTTATTTTTACATATTACGTCCTCTATCAGCCATTTAGACGCGCCGTGTATACCGACATGCACACACAGTCATGGCAATTGTTATTATTATTATTATTATTATTATATAACAAATAAGGGCAGAGGAGCGAGCTCCTATTATGCCCAAAAAGCAAAAATAAACAAAAATAAAATAGATCCTTATAAAACTAATACTAATTATAAAGTTAAGTAGTTAAACAATTAACGAAAATTGAATTGTGACACAATAAATAAATAAATAATGCTGTCCGAGAAAAAATATCCTATCCTATAAAAAAAAATAAAGTGCTGTCAAGTTTATTTTTAAAGATGTAACACTAGCTGCCGATATGGTGTTTTGATCCAAATTGTTCCATATATTAAAGATTCTGTTTGGCAAGAAGTTCGCCCTGGACCTTGCAGTAGTTTGTTCCCTCTTTAATTTGTATTGATGGCCTCTTAATCTATCGTCTTCATTCAAAGTAAATATGTTGTTTAGGTTCCCAAAATTATGTTTTAAAATACGGAAGGACATAATTAGGTCACCTCGAAGACGTCGCTGCTCGAATGTCGTAAGATGAGCCATGAATAGTCTATCTTCATAGTTAGGTCTGACACGGCCGTATGCCAGTCTTGTGGCTTTACGCTGAACGTTTTCAAGTAGGATTTTTATCGCGACTAAGATCTGGATTCCACACTGGTCCGGCAAACTCAATAATAGGTCTAACGTATATTGAGTAAAGTTTACTAACAGAGGTTAGAGATATGCGTGCAAAACACTTACGAATCAAAACAGTTTCGAGTTAGCACGTTTACACACCGACACTATGTGATCAGACCAATTTAAGTCACTATTAATTATCACTACCGAGATCGTTGTGTGAGGTTACAGAGTTAAAGGATGTCCATTAATAAAGTACGGAAGTGATGGTTATTTTTGCCGATATGTAAAACAACGCATTTTTCAATGTTAAGCGGAAGTAACCATTCTGAGGACCATTTGAATATTGCGTCAAGATCTTGTTGAAGAATATGTTGGTTAATAATTGGATTCACATATAACTTAGTGTCATCAGCGTAAATGGAAACCTTACTGGATACAATGAGCGGAAGATCACTAGTGTAGACACAAAAAAGTAGCGGTCCAAGTACTGATCCTTGTGAACTCCACTCTTGACTGGCTTATCTAATGAGTGGTCTTCCCCAACACGAACCCTGAAGTATCTGTCGGATAGAAAATCTTGTATCCAAATGTTTAATTTTAATGTTGTTTGATAAAATCACTTTATTTCTTGAAGCTTTTAGAAACATATCCCAGTATTATTATACAGTGAATATACCGTGCAAAATTTTGAATAACCCCTTCAAACTGTATTAATTCCAAATTAACACACACAACACTGTATGTTTATATATAAACTTTCGCCAGAAAGATTTTTCCCATTTTTTTTTTTTCAATTTCTTGCGATAAAAATGAATTACACAAATTTTCAACATCTTTCAACGTAATAAAAAAGTGATGTCCTTACTTCCAATATATTGCTTTAAAGACTGACGCCCAAACAAACTTCATTGGATTAAGATCCGGGTTATGGATATTGATAAAATATACTTCAATATATTGGTAGTTTTTAACTACTATGTTACTAAGAATTTATTAACTCCACGTATGTTTTAAATATCGGTTAATTCTTCTTCTTAGAGTGCCATCTCCCTACGGAGTTTGGCAATCATAATGGCTATTTTTATTTTAGAACTTGCTGCTCTAAACAAATCAATCGATCTGCATTGATACCAATCACGTAGATTCTTTAACCATGAGTTCTGCCTTCGCCCAACTGATCTTCTGCCTTGAATCTTTCCCTGTATTATCAGTCTCAAAATTTCATATTTTGGTCCCCTCATCACGTGGCCTAGGTATTCCAGTTTTCTGGTTTGTATAGTGGTGATTAGTTCTGTTTCTTTACCAACCCTCTCCAGTACTTCTTTATTTGTAATTCTATCAGTCCATGAAATTTTC